CTTTATCAAGAAAATTGGTGATCTCTATTTCATTTAGCCCTCTTTCTGGTGTCTAGCCCTGTAGTTTTGTTTGGAACATACTCCTCTGCCTCCTCATTTTGTCAGTGTTTCTTTTTCTTCCTTTGTATTAGACTGATCTGCTATACTTCTTGGCCTGTAGAATAATAGATTTATGAAGGAGGCATCTTATGGTGCCCAGAAGCTCAAGACTCTATTCTCCAGTACCTGGTTTTACTTTGTGGGATCCCCAGCTGTTGTTGGGATGCAGTGGGTGGGGCCATCTTTTTGTGTGTCTGTTGGTAATGGTCTGAGTCTGCAGCACTGGCAGTTTGTTTTAGCCGCCTTTTTGATCCAAGCAAAGGCCTCTGCTGGGATCACTGTGGGTGGGACCACCCTCTGCCTGCCCTGCAGTGATATCAGGGCAACAGGGTTAATGCTGTGGGCTGGTGGGCCAGTGTGTGGCTCTGAGGCAGGACCAGATGTGCAGCACTGGGCTTGGACATTCAAGGAGAGGAAGCAGCTCTTGGGGTGGCTCCTGCAGGCACCTCCCTGCTTGGGCTGAAATGGGGCTAAGAAAGCTGGAAGAGTCTCCCTCTACCTGCCAGGCAGCAAAGTCTGATGCTAATGCTGGGCCAAGTAGGTTGGTTTGCCATTAGTGTTCACAGGGAGGACGCCCAGGACTGTGTTACCAGTGAGGGGGATGGAACAAATGGGGTTCTCAAGAGTTCCTGACCTTTTGGGTGAGGAAGGGATGGAGAGGTATTGTCTACCTGCCCTTTCTCTTGAGGATAGAGCTCCATTCAACCTTCGCCCCTCTGGCACCTGTCCTACTGCTGGCAAGTTTTTCAAACTGCTGCCTCTGCTTTGGGTCTCAGGACTTGTGGTGTGTGCCTGTGCTCCACAAGCAGCTGGAGTCTCAGCCTCCTGGTGTTCCAGCTATCATCCAGCCCTGCTAATCACCAGAGCCCAGTGTAATGTGGGCTCGTGCTTCCAGAGCAGATCTCCAGGGCCAGGTGTGCAGTGTTTCTGGGCTCATATCCCCTCCCTGCTCCATTTCTCTTTCTCTCACCTGTGGACTGGGGTTGGAGGGAGGGCTTGGGTCCCACTTGACTGCAGCTCTGCCACTTTACCCTTTTCTGTGATCTTTTCTCTTCCCCTGGTGTAGGTGGTCCATTCTGCAATCTTTAGGTCATTTTCAGATTTACTTGTATTTGCTGTATTTTCTCCTTTCCTGTGTTTTTGGGAGGAGGTTCCTACCTTGCCTTCCTACTCCACCATCTTTTTCTCCTCCTCTCCTTTTTTTTTTAGTGAGCTAAATTATTTTGCTTGATTTTGAAATGTTAAAGCAGGCTTGCTTTCTTGGAATAATTTTAACTTGGTTATGATGTTTTATTCATTGTATTTATTGCTGGGTTCAGTTTGCTGATTTTGTTTTAGATATTTGCATCAATATTCATGAGAGAAGTTGGCCTATGATTTTCCCCTTTTTTTTAGTAATTTCCTGTCAGGTTTGGGTCTCAAGGTTATGTTGACTTCATAAAATGAGTTGCAAAGTATTTATTCTTTTTTTCCTACTTTATTTATTTGAGCAAAATTGATTTTACATCTTAACTGTTTTTTGAATTCTCTGGGGCAGTCATCTTGGCCTATTATTTTCTTTATAAAGTAGGTTTTATTTTCATCCCTTTTTAATAGTTAAATTTATTGAGTTAGAATTCATATGCAATCCAATTCACACAATTAAAAGTCCAATTGGATAGGTTTCGGCTAATATATAAATCTGTGTAACTCCCACCATAATCAAAATTTAGAGAATTTTCATCACCTAAAAAGTTGCCTTGTGCCCTATTGCCATCAGTACCGTCCCTCTCACTAGCCCCAGAAAACTGAGGTTCCTATGCTTATTTGCTGTGTATGTATTTTCTTTGGTGAGTTTTCTGTTCATATCTTTTGCCTATTTTTTAATTGGTTTGTTTGTTTTCTTACTGTGTTTTCCAAATTATAGGTTGTATACCTGTCCTTAGAATTTCATATAAGGAACTCAGATATATTGTTGTGCCTGACTTCTTTTGCTCAGCATGTTTCTGAGTGCTATCCTAGGATATTATGTATATCAGTATTTCATTTAATTTTATTGCTGAGTAGTATTACATTTTATGGATTTACCACAATTTGTTTATCCATTCTCCTGGTTATGGACATTTGTTTGTTTCCAGTGTGTAGCTATTATTATTAAAGCTAGCATAAACATTTGTGTGCAAGTCTTTGTGTGAATATATGTTTTCATTTCTCTTTGGCAAATACCTAGGAATGGAATTGCTCAGTCATATGGTAAATACATATTGACTTTTTATGAAATTGACAAGTATTTCTGCAAAGATGTGCCATTTCACACTCCCACCTGCATTCTATGAAGAGTTCCAGTTGTTCCACATCTTTACCACCATTGAATGTTGTCAAGTCTTTTTAATTTTTGCTACTCTAGGTAGATGTGTAGTGTTATCACACTGTGGTTTTTAATTTACATTCCCTTGATTATTAGTAAAGTTGAGTATCATTTTGAAGCTTATTGGCCATTTGCATATCTTTTGATGTTTCTATTCAAATCTTTTACCCATTTTTGAAAAAGAACTCTTAAAGAGAATGATTTGGTACAAATTTTAATGTAAGTAAACTATTGACAAACAGACATATATCTTTTTTCCCTCTTAAAATGGGTCATGTACTATTCTGACCATAGCTTTTTCTAGTCTAATGCTCAAAACTTGATGTGAACTAGCTATAAACTTTGGTTTTGAAGTAAAAGAAATTCTGTCAATTTGGCTCTTACCTGGTGATTTTTTTGTGCTCATTTTTTTAGTTCAGTTATGTTCTTACATTGAGTTATAATAGTTAATATATTCTGGATTCAGGTTATTTGGCAGATACATGTGTTATAAATATTTTCTTCCAACATTTTATTTGTCTTTCCATTTTCTTTAAAGTAACTCTACTGAATGTTAATTTTTGAATTTTTGTCTTTTTAAAAACTGGTTCATCCTTTTTATGTCATAAAAATCTTTGCCTATGCCAAAGTCGCATTTCTATAGATTTTATAATATTATAATATTACCTGTTTTATTTAGGTTTTGGTCCATTTTGAGTTGATTTTTTTTCTATATGGTTTGAAGTTACCTATTGAGGTTCATTTCTTTCCATTTAACCTCCAGTTCCAATACCTTTTGTTGTGTAAGACTGTCTTTTCCCATTGAATTACCTCAACACCTTTGTTGAAATATATATGTGAGTCTATTTTTGGACTTTGAGTGCTGTTTCAGTAGTCTGTATGTTTGTCCTTACATAAAAATTACATTATCTTGATTACTATCACTTTGTAGTAAGTTTTGAAATCATGTCTTCCAACTTCCTCCTGTTTATTGGTGGTTTGGCTGTTGTGGGTCCTTTGCGTTTCCACATACCTTTTAAAATCAACTAATCAGTTACCACTGAAAAACATGATCAAGACTGAGTTGAATCTAGATATTAATTTAGGCAGAGTGGATGTGTTAACCATTTTGGATCTTCAAATCCATGAGCACAGTTCAGCTGCCTCTTAGCTTTTTTTAAATTTGTCTCAGCAGTGTTTTACAGCTTTTAATGTAAAGGTCTTGCACTTTTTTTTAATATTTGTTCTTATGTATTTGACATCTTTTGATACTAGTATAAATGAAATTCTTTTCCTTTATATATATGCCTGATTATCTTTGGGTAATTATTGGACAATATGCTGAAAATTTATAGAAATAATTTTACACTCTTGGTAATGTTATTTTATTGGAGATAGTTTCCTTTTGCTTTTGGCCATCAACTGGGCTAGATGCAGATCTCTTTAGTCCAGTCAGGAAATATGCTGATTCAAAGCTGGACTTAAGTTCTAATAAGGGCTTATCTATTTCCCATCCATTGTTCTTTCTAACATGTAGTCCTTCAGAGTCCAACTGAAATCATGGGGATCTACCAAAGCCTCCTCTCTTTGGTGGACCCATATTCCAGTTTGTACCTCCAAACTTGTGAATATTGCCAGAAGCTTCTGTGCTCAGCTTCTTAGCCTCTCAATCATTGCTTTTGCTTTCAGATTTGGCAATTGCCTCAATGGAAAAAGTTACATCAAATACTTGGATTACCTCTTTTGTTTTCTCTCTTATAACTTGTCTCAAAAGCTGCTGCCATGGTAGCTTTCTGATGCCTTCAAATCACGATTTCTTTCTTTAACAAAATATATCCCATCTTTCCTAGCTATTTTCAGCAGGGAGGTTGGTCCCTTTGTGTAAGTAAGCCATTGCTAGAGGTGTCTTTCTCTTCTCCCTCTCCCTCTCCACTCTTGCATCCTATCCTCCACTAGAATATAACATTGGTCTTTCTATCCCATCTACTGCTGTATTCCCAGCACCTAGATTAGTACTGAGCACAGAATAGAAGTTAATAGATAGTTGTTGAATTAATGAATGAATAAATTGACATTTTATCTGAGAAGACAGAGTGGAAATTCAAAAGGAAATATTTTTCGTTTTCCCAAACCTAAGATGTAGCTGTTCTTGAGCATAAACAGGCTGAGTTCTGAACTTGAAATCAGGACCTTTAGAGTTCTAGTCTCTCTCTTATTGATATTCCCTCAAGATTTTAAGTAACATCTTTTGGCGCTAATTTCTTCATTTGTAAATGATTTATTACTCTCTTATTCAAGGAAATAGCTTCAGTTTTGGAAATTAAAGAACATTCAAGAGACAAAATTTGAAAGATAAATAGGGCATTAGAATGAATGTTTTATTTAATCAAGTAACCAAAATACTTCGGTATAAAATAGGCTTATAATTTTTATTATAATAATACTTTCAGTGAATACAAATAAGACAAATAGATTGTTATGTTTTAAGAGGTAATGATGAAGAGTATCATGAAAAATAACATTTTGCATAGTACATAAATGTTTACCTTTGTTTTTTTCCCCCTTTTCCCTTTAGAGCCATTTTAAGTGCCAGATCTAGTTACTTTGCTGCAATGCTGAGTGGCTGTTGGGCTGAAAGCTCCCAAGAGTACATCACTCTTCAAGGGTAAGCTTGATTTTTACAAGGCAGCTTGACTGCAAATGATTGCAAATAATACTTCATAACAAGCACTTTTTATCAATCTGATTTCCTTGTATGTTCGATGAAATGTTAGAATTCAGTGTACATTTTCTGAAAATGAAAGGTAGTAAGGAGCATTTAGTACTAGACATAGTCTTTTAGTCTTTTCATGCTGCTGTAACAAAATAGCACCGACTGGGTGGTTTAAATAACAGAGATTTATTTTCTCATAGTTCTGCAAGTTCAAAGTGTCAGCAGGGTTGGTGTTGGGTGAGAACTCGTCTTTGGATCCCTGGGCTGCAGATGTCTGCTTCTCTCTGCTCAAACAGCCTTTCCGCCAAGCGTAGGGGTCAGGGAAGGGAAAGGAAGGAAGGTGGAGAGAGAGCTCTCTGGGTTTCTTCTTAAAAGGATACTAATCCTGTCACATCAGGGCATGGCCCTCCCTAATTACCACATGTATTCTTAACTACTGATTTATGTGCCCCTCTCCAAATATAGGCATGCTGGAGGAATAGAGCTTCAATATGTGAATTTGGGTGGGTGGGAGAGCACAAATATTCAGTTTGTAATGGGTAGTTTCTTTTTTTAAGAATAATTTGGATACATGTGGATATTAACGACCTATGATAGTACAATGATGTATCTACACAATTGGTGGCTATCTGTATAAACCACTGAGACAGTTATTAAGAGATGAACTTCTACCTTAAATGGTGAAATGGAACATTTTTGGGTCACAGATGATCACTGTGAGAATCTCTAGTGTACAGTCTAGGGGAGGACTATCTCAGTAGGAAAATTGCCTGGGAGCTTTGAGGGGCCCTCTGAGCCCTGCATCATTCTTTCCATGGGTGTTTCTTTGACTGGGTCAATCTTGGCCAGAGCCTTGGGTATGGAATGGTAAGAGTGGCAATTCCATACCAGCAGATGCATGGAAAATTGGTAAATTCTTACTGACCATTTCTTTGTTACACTGGCCTTATAATCTTGAGCCTTCAAGGTTACAATCATCTAATACCCTTACTAACTAAAAACAGATGCCCAATGTCTCCCATTTTCTAATTTCTCACTCTGTAAAATAATAGTGAACATTATTTGTAAGAATGTCATGTGTTTTTATTTTGTTTTTTCATATTTTATTCATTTAATAGAAATGGAAAATATGCAAAAGGACCGAACCCCTTTTCTTTCATACCAGAGCATTTAGAGGGTTACATGTTAATTATACTACTGCAGTTTCAATACACATAACACAATGTATTTTCCAACCTATTGTTTGGGTACAATTTCAGCAACTGCCACCAGTTAAGTGATTTCAAATACATATCCATGGAACCACATGCCTTTATTTCAGCACATTTTTTTAAAGAAAAAACAAAACAGACAAATGAAATAGTAAGAAAGAGAAAATAATGGAGGATGTAAAATCACCAAGTTTTTACTTGGTATTGATACTAAAATAAACTTCCTCTTTAATTTGTCCCCCACATACATAATAAAATCCTTATACATGGAAAGTTTCCTTTTTTTTTCCTAGTCTTCCACTAATATAGCATCAAAACATAACACAAATTGCTTTGGTGATGTTTAAAAAAAGTAACATGTGCATCTGAGTAAACCTGTCTTTCCATCTGAGCTACTCTAGTTTTTTACATTTTTTATTGAGATATAATTGACATATAACATTGTACTAGTTTAGGTATACAACATAAATGATTTGATATATATATATATTGAAAAATGGCAACCACAATAAGTGTAGTTACATCCATCCTGATACATATTACAGGTTTTTTTTCTTGTGATGAGAACTTTTAAGATCTACTCTCGTAGCGGCTTTCAAATATTGAATACAGTACTGTTAACTCTAGTCACCGTGCTGTTAATTACATCCCTAGGATTTATCTATCTTTTAACCAGAAGTTTGTGCCTTTTGACCTTTCACCCATCCCTCTCTACCCCCTGCCTCTACCAGGTAGTTTCTGATTATGGAAGGTTTTATATGCTGACCTAGAGTTTATTTTCCTGTGGGTAAAAAGAATGTGTAGGTGAATCAGTTGGTGAAATTTTATCATCGCTTTTGAAAAGCCACGTGAAAAATGTTTGTATCCTACTGATAAGAGCTCTTCTTTTATGATGAATTTAAACTACCCACTAAGTATAGGAAGAAAGATAGTGGTAGTGGAGGCCAGTGCCAGTCCTAGGAATAATCATTTTGGTATGATGTCAGAAACTTGTCTAGAAGTTTTAGACATCATTTTTAAAAACTGTCAACCCACTCTCATTAGAACTGAATTCAATAAAAATTTCAATAGAGAGATAACACAATTGGCTCAGAATGCAACTTTTTGTATTCATTAAAGATCATGTGATTGTGTATAATGAGATATAGGCCAAAAGAAATTATGGTTATGAGTTCTTATTCTACAGTAGGGGAGAATAATTTACAGAGAGCAAATGCCTAATTTTTTTTTTTTTTGAGAGCGCATCTCTCATATTTATTGATCAAATGGTTGTTAACAACAATAAAATTCAGTACAGGGGGATCAATGCTCAATGTACAATCATTAATCCATCTCAAGCCTAATTCTCGTCAGTCTCCAATCTTCTGAAGCATAACGAACAAGTTCTTACATGGTGAACGAATTCTTACATAGTGAATAAATTCTTACATGGTGAACAGTACAAGGGCATTCATCACAGAAACTTAACGGTTTTGATCACGCATTATGACCTATAAACAATCAGGTCAAATATGAATATTCGTTTGATTTTTGTACTTGATTTATATGTTGATTCCACATTTCTCCCTTTATTATTATTATTATTTTTATTTTTAATAAAATGCTGAAGTGGTAGG